AATCATTTAACACATAAACATTATGTACATAAATACGTTCATCCGTACATTAATAAACGGAGCAAATCCCACTTCCTCCTGGCACTGATGATGTTATCTAGTTTGGTAAGGTCCGCTCCCCGATTTCAGTATCGGCCGAAGTTTGACCCTGTAACTTTTCCAAATTTTATTCCCCCACCCCCCCAAAATACGAGAGGTTTATCAAGCGGGACGGATTGTCGTCCCGACTCATCTCGTTCGTCTGGACGAGTTGTTGTTCCGTTGCACCTGGGGGGGGGGGGGCAGGACAGGGGAATGGCAGGATGCCCCATCCATTTTCTCATGTGTCCTGGCAGATGTTTGGCATTTTATTCCATTTGTGTGTGTGTGTGTGTGTGTGTGTGTGTGTGTTGTACACGTGTGTCAAATCGAACCGTTTCTCCAGCCCGGAGGCAGCAAGGGTTTTGCCGGTTCCGGGAGAGGAGAGCTCGCCATTCTTTCACCGCCGCGGAAACCACCGGAAGTCCCCGGAGGCCGCGATACTCTATGGCTATAGTCAGCCATCTTTTGTGTGTGTGTGTGTGTGTGTGTGTCTTTCGTTTGTCTCATGGATTTATGCCTCTTTTTGTTCTCATGTGTGTGGTTTTTTTTTTGTGTCCACGCAGGGCTGTGTTCATCTATGCAGAGCTCTCTCAGTAACCCCTGCCTCCAGTCCTCGCTTAACGCCCCCGCCCTGCGCCCGGCGCCCTCCCACCTCAGCAGCCAGTCCATGCCTTCCTCCCTCAGCACCCCCTCGCTGTCCACCTCCCTCAGCAACCCTTCCCTCCCCACCTCGCTGGGCGCCCATGTGATGCCGCCCGTCCCGCCTAACCCCCGGCTGCCCCCACCGCACCACCAGCCTCCCCCCGGCTTTGGGGGCCCGGCCTCCTCTTCCTCCTCCTCCTCCTCCACTGCTTCGTCCCCGGCTGCCTCCTACGCCCCTCTGAACGCTTCTCCTCGGCGCAGGGTTCCCCTCAGTCCCCTAACTCTCCCCATGGCTGGAGATGCGAGACGACAGCACCCCAAACAGTTTTCGCCAACCATGTCACCCACATTGTCTTCCATCACCCAGGTATGCACCCAGGAGGGGAGAAGGAGGGGGCTTGTGACGGGAGTGTGTGTGACTCCCTTCCCCTTTGTGCTCCTCACCCCTCTTTTTTCCTCCTCCTCCTCCTTCCCTTCCCTCCTTCCTTCCTTCCTTTCCTCCCTTCTCTGTGCTTCACTTTTCTTTTCCCATCGCATTTCAACTTCAGCCACCTTCCCTCTCTGTCCCTTCTAAGGACCGCTTCCAATTCTTCCCCTTTCTGGTCCTGGTATTTCAAGGTCAGTCGTCCTCGACTTAACGACCACGACGGAGTCTCAGTGCTCTTGTCGTTGAGCGAGGGAGCGAAGTGAGGTTTTTTGTTTTTTTTTACGCCGTTCCCGGACACAGTTGTTCGGGGGACAGAAACTGCGAACTCCGTTCTGCTCGTAAATGGAGGGTGGTCTGAAATCCCTCGGAGGCCGTGCCTTCTTTGGGCGGGGGTTGAGGTGGGCAGGTCCAGCCGCACCCAACTTAAGAGCTATGGTCTTTTGCAGGTGACGGAGCACCGCAAAAAGGCCAAAAAACAGATTCCTTTTTGGGCTGTTTTCAGGCCTTTTTGCAGGCCGTTTTCAGGTTGTTTTGCAGGCTGAAAAACTGGCCTGAAAATGGCCCTGAAAACAGCCCCCCAAAGGGCCAAAAAAGAGGCATGCACACACCGGCCAGCTGGTCTTTGGGTTTCTGGTTTCTGGCAGCTGGTCTTTTGTGGGTGAGGGAGCACCGGAAAAAGACCAAAAAACAGACCCCCTTTTGGTTCATTTCCAGGCCATTTTTTGGGCCGAAAAACAGCCTGAAAATGGCCCTGAAAACAGCTGGAAAACGGCCTAAAACGACCCCCAAAACAGCCTGAAAACAGCCCCCCAAATGGCCAAAAAACCAGGCACACGCACCGGCCAGCTGGTCTTTGGGTTTCCGGTGCTTGGCACGCACACAAGCATTTGCGTGCCCGCCTGTTCCGGCTTGGGTACTCGGTGCTAAAAAGGTTCACCATCACTGCCCTACCCTGAGCATACAGGGGTGTCAAACTCGATTTACTTGGTGTACAAATTAGGGTTCTTTGACCTGGGGGGGGCGGGCTGGGTGTGGCCAGGGTGGACGTGGCCAGCTCAATGTCACTCGTGTCCGGGGGTTGGCACCTGTGAGGGCCCGAGCACTCCGCCAGTGGGAACGGACTCCCGAGCTCCGTTTTCGGCTGCGACGGTCTCCTGCAACCCTCGGCCCACGAAAACGGAGTTCCGGAGGGCCGCCCACTGCCATCCTGAGCTCCATTTTCATTGCCCGAGGCACCGCGGTCCGGGCCTTCCGTGTTTCCAAGGCCAGATCTCAGCACCCCACGGCCTTGAGTTTGACTCCCCAACGTAGCAGGTGCGAAGAGCGGCCCCTCCCCTCCCCAAAGGACTACGTCGCCCCCACCCGTGGGGCGTTCCCCTTTTCTGACTGTCCCCTCCCGCCTCCAGGGTGTACCGTTGGACACCAGCAAGCTCCCTGCAGAGCAGCGGCTTCCGCCCTACCCTTACAGCCAGCCAGGCGTGCTCCTTCAGCACAGCCAAAAGTCCCAGCACCCGGTGCCCGGAGGAGTCCTTACCTCTCCTCAAACCCGCCAGCCGTCGTCTCAACCGCCCTGTCCCTACACGGCACATTACCAGCCGAATTCCATGCTCCAGCACCAGCTCAACCAGCCGTTGGGTGACTTCGGCTTCGGCAACGTGAGTTTCAACCCCCCCTCCCTCCCTCCCCATTTCTTGATTTCCCAGGCTCGTAGCGGCGGGCAGGGGGATCTCTGGGGGCCACGTAGTCTCACCCCGCCCCTGCTCGGCGCCGAAGACAACCCTCCGATGACGGGACGTACGCTCCTTCTCTTCTCCCCGCAGTTCGACCAATATGGCTTTGTCGACAACATGACGGGAGGTTTTGCCTTCAACAGCAACGCCTTCGCGGAAGACATGGGTGCCTTTAATTACTCGCCGGGCGACAACATGGGACCGCCGGCGGGTGGAGGGGGCGGCCACAGCAGCAACAGCACCGCTATGAATGATCCCCACTTACTCGGTCGTCAGAACCTGAGCAATTGCAGCCGTTACGGTCCTGTTCCTAACATCATTCTCACAGGTAACAGTCGGCAGCTGTTTTGCAGCGGGGTAGGTGGGTGTGTTGAACGTCGGGCCGCCCGGCGATGAGTCGCACGGAAGCAGCCGCCTTCAGCTCTTGAGCGGACGGCTCCCAAACCTCTCTCTCGGGACACTCCCCCCCGGTCTCGTCGAAAAGATCAAACGAGATCGGGCGGATTTGGGAGCAGAGTTTGCTCAGCGGGTGAGGACGCCGAGAAGGTTCGCGTTTGAGACTTGTGGTTGCTGCCACGAGATGGGATTGAGTTCCCATCCCTCGCTCCAGCTCCTGCCAATGCCAGTAGTTTGAAAGCAGAGGAACCGTGGGTCGATAGATGGGTACCACTTTGGCGGACAACGGGGACACAGAAGGAGCCCCCAACTGGGCCCCCTCCCCCGGGCAATGGGTATACCACAGTCCAATCCTTTCAACCCGCTTTGGTGCTCCTGGTCTGCACGCCATCAAACTTGCCTGCTAAGTTGCTATTTTTCCTTCTTTTCCCCCCCGAGCGTCTGCTGTGCGGGGAGATTTAGATTCGCTAGAAAGCAGGAAATCGTTGCATAATCTAAAAGCAGAGCTGAACCTTCCTTAGGACCAAAGCTTTTATTTTTTCAGTGCAGACTCAGGCAGCAGATGGCAGAAAGGTAGATCTCTGAGTGAATCTGTGATTCTGCGAACGAGTCAATCTGCCTGCCTGCTTTGCTTTCTTTTGGGTAAAAGTTGCTCTTTTTTATTAAAAAATTCAATATTCACGTCAATATTTATAATATTTACATACAAGCCGTGCCCACCCAGTCACATGACCACCAAGCCATGCCCACAAATTAGGCCACGCCCACAGAACCGGTGGTTCAGACATTTGAATCCCACCATTGAGTAGGATAGATTAGCGTTCTTCCTGCATCCTAGCTCTCGGGACCGCAGTTTCGGCCTGCCACGGGGTCCCGATTGGCCTTTGGTTCCAACACCCCCGTTGTGTAGCTGTGGGTGTCTTTGATTTTCCTTCGTAGGGGATTCCTCGCCTGGCATCTCCAAAGAAATCGCCAGCGTCCTGGCGGGCATGCCGGGCTTCGAAATGGACGCGGCTTCCCTGGGCCTGGACGAGGACCTGAAGATCGAGCCGCTGAGCTTGGACGGACTCAATATGCTGAGCGACTCTTATGTCTTGCTGAGCGACCCGTCTGTCGAAGACTCCTTCCGCACCGACCGGCTCCAGTGAACCAGAAGGGGTTGACCAGAGACACCCCAACCCCAAAACGCCACCAACTCCCACCCACCCACCACCCCCGACTCTTAGCAGGGAGAGCGGGACCCTCGCGAGCCGTGGAGAATCAAACGGGCCGCGTTTGCCAATCCTCGGGGGGGGGGATCAAGACAGAAGCGGACGATTCGCGCTTTGCTTCCTCCCCGTTTTCCCAAACGCCGCGTTTCCCCTCCTCCCCACAAACACACACACACACACACACACCTGGGGGGGGGGGGGGCGGGCCCCGCCCCTGTAGCTGCAGGAGCTTGACCGCTCCTAAGCTTGGCCGAGAGGTTCAGCCCGGCCCTGGGGTCAAAGGACTCGAGGAGCAGGGCAACGAGACCGCGGGATCCTTTCACACGCACCCGGTGTCGGATGGACCGTACGAGCAGAAGAAGCGAGGAAGGAGGAATCCCCTTCCCAGATGTATCCGGGTTGGGCGAGACCGGGGTGTGGGTGTGTGCGTGTGGGTGTCACTTTCTGAACCCCCCCGAATCAAGGAACGGGGCGATGTGAAAAGCATCTCGGATGTCTTTCGCCCCGCGTCTCGTTCCCCGACAAGGTGGCTCCCGGAGGGAGGACAGAAGAGAGAATGTCAATCGTGTTTGTTTATCGTTTCCCCCCCGCCTCCCTTTTCTCTCGCCTAACCGATTTCTTGCTGTCTTTTTAATTTTATTTTTAAAAGAATTCTGTACATAACCCTTCCTCCGTTTTTTTTTTCCTCCTCCTCCTCTTTTCTCTCTCTGTCTCA